TGTTTCATTTGTTGTTTTCTCTGTGTTTTAGAATTGTGTGTTTTTGTCGTATATTTTGTAGATTATACTTTCAATTAATCGTTTATGTTTTCTTATTCATTGTTACTAATGTGTTTATGTTCAGTCTTAAAGTCATTTTTTGATCATTTATTTTTACATTTTTATATCGATATTATGTGTAGTGGTAAATAATGAAAATATTGTTCAAAATATTATGTGCTGAAATTCTTTTTGCAATTGATCATGTGCTGTTTTGATATTGAACATTTTACTTATTTGTTATTGTTCATTCATGAAACTCTTTATGATCATTTATAATTGTATATTGTGCAGTGGAAAAAAATGATGATATTATGTATTTAGAAGCAGAACAGTCTGAATTAAAGGATAAAGAATTTAAATCTGAAGATGAAGCTTTCGAAGCGTATAATGAATATGCTTTTAGGAAAGGTTTTGGAATTCGAATTGGGAAGAGTAAGAGAAGAAGAGATGATTCTTTTTTGATGAAAAGATTTGTTTGTTGTAATGAGGGATTCAAAGATAATAAGTGTAAGAATAAAAGGATTTATGAGAAGTTGGATCATCGAACTGGTTGTTTAGCTTTTGTGCAGTTTCATATTGATCATTTAGGGGTCTATACATGTACAAGACATGAAATGGTTCATAATCATGCTATGATTCCTCCTGAAAAAAGGCATTTGATAAGGTCTCAAAGAGATGTGAATAAAGAGCAGCTTCTTTTCATTTCAACAATGAAATTGAGTGGAGTCAAAGTTACTGATTCTTTGAGGGTCTAAAGAAGGAGGTTGGGGGATCTCCTAATCTTTGTTTTTACTGCTTCTGATGCTTATAATGCATTGTCATCTGAAAAAGCTGCCCAAATTGAAGGATGTGATGGTAACCAATTGATTAAATATTTTGCCAAGAGACATGTGGATGAGACAGATTTTTATTATGATTTTGAACAAGATGATAGTGGTGCTTTAGTTAGTTTTTTTTGGCGTGATGGTAGGATGATGAGAGATTATCATTACTTTGGAGATTTGTTGGTTTTTGATACAACTTATAGAACTAATAAATATGGAATGATATGTGCTCCATTTGTTGGGATGAACCATCATGTACATCATGGTAACAATGTCATGTTTGGTATGGGTTTTATTTCTTAATGAGCGCACCGAGTCTTTTGATTGGTTGTTTGATACATTTTTGCACTCAATGGGGAGGAAAAGTCCCATTACAATTATGACTGATCAAGCACAAGCGATTGCAGCGGGTATAAGAAACATTTTTCCTTCAACTGTTCATCATCGTTTATGTGTATGGCATCTTGAACAAAATTCTAAGAAACACATTGGAGCATTGAGAGCTTTGGAAGGCTTTACAGATTTGTTTGGATATCTTTTGAAGTATTGTGAAACTCCTGCTGAATTTGAATATTTCTGGAAAAGGTAAATTATTGTTTTTTGTATTTATTTTTATTTTTATTATGTGATATATTTGATTATTATGTGATATATATATGAACATTTAGTGTTTTACATATGATCATACAATTTACTTTGTTATGTATGTTATCATAATATTATTAGTGTCCATATTGTTTATGATCATTATTCTTTACACAAATGTACATATTTTAATTTATATTTTGTTCATTTTTAAATTAATATATGATCATTTCTGTTATACAGGATGTGTGATAAATACAAATGTGAAAATGATGATTGGTTATGTGATTTGTATAAAATAAAGGAAATGTGGTGTCCTGCTTATTCTAAGAAGTATTGGTCTGGTGGTATATTGTCTTCTCAACGTAGTGAAACTACTAATAAGTCAGTTTCACAACGTCTTAATAAGACTCAAGGTTTATGTGATTTTTATCATGTTTTTTCTTGATGTCATTTCTGAGTGGAGAAGTAAGGAAGGTGCAAGAGATTACAATACTCTGAGGGGTAATAGGCACCTAGCTTTTGCTAATATTGGTATATTAGATCATGCAAGATCATTGTACACTATTCAAGCTTATGTTCTTTTTGAAGAGGAGTTCATTAGGGGGACAGCTTATGATCATGTTGATAATGGTTTGCGTTTTCCAGAATATTCATATCTTCTTTGGAGGCCTGGGAAGGATATAATTAAGCATGAAGTTGTTTTTAATAAGGAAACACATGCAATTTGTTGCACATGCATGTACTTTAGTGAGACTGGTTTACTTTGTTCTCATTCTCTTCGAGTATATCATTTGCATTGTGTGCGTAATATTCCACAAGAGTATATAATGAAACGATGGACAAAGGCTGCCATGTGTAGTCATGGTATTGAAGAACCTACTTTGAGGACAAATGTTGTGGCTACTAGTGTTTGGAGGTCACAAACAATCAGAAAGTTTGTTAAGTTGATAACAAGTTGTCAGAATTCTTTGAATGCAAGGGCAGAGGTTGAGTGTTATTTCAATCTGTTAAAAGAAAAGGTTGAGAGTGTATCAGGTGTAATTGACTTTAGTGAACCTGTTAAAGAGGTTGAAATTGTTGATCTTGAGATCAAGAATCCTCCAAAAGCTAGGCCTAAAGGTGAGAGGAATGTAAGGCCTAAGAGTACCTTGGAGAAGCAGTGTAACAAGGCAAAGGGTAATTTCAAGGAAAAAGTCTCTGTACACTCCTTACAAAAGGGGTATAGGGCAAGCAGTTGTACAGGTATATGATCATTTCATATTTTCAAATTGATCATTTCAGTTTTCATAAATGATCATTTATGTTTTTTTTTTTTAAATAGGAACTTGATGAGAACGGTTGTGCTGTTACTTATGCTAATTCTATAGTGATCCCATTGAATTGATTGTTTTGAGCAATAAACGGGCTCAGGTAAATTCAAATGTGCCAAAAAAAACATTTTATTTATATTTTATTAATATTGATTTTTATAATTTTAAAAATATAGGTCGGCTTAAAATCAGCTGTTGTAGAAGAAATTCCTTCTAGTTCTAAGGAATCAAATCATAGTATTTCCAATGATTTTGATCAGGTATATGAACATTTATGATCTATATTATAATTTTTTTTTATTTAATTTTTTATTTTTATATTTTTTTTGGTTTTTTTGTAGGCTACTGGTGAAAGCTCTCTTTCATCTATCATATCTATTGATGTTGATATTTCATCTATTGCTAAGGTTTTTTTTTTTTCCATATTTGTTTGTATAAGTGTTTGTAACTGATCATATACTGGTTTATTAATGATCAATTTAATTTTTTTTAAAGGCGAAGGATTTAAATCTTGAAGGTGTTTCTGCTGTTCAACCTTGTTCTAATTTTGGTGCAAATAAAGGTGCTTCTGGTGTTAAAACTTACTCTCAAATTAATCCAAGAGTTCCAATTCATACTAGTGCGTCAACAAAATCTCCTGTTGTTATTCAACCTACTGTTCCCAGGAATGTTCAAAATCAAACTCAGAATTGTTCAAACACCAATCCAGAAATGATCATATCCAACTCCAGGAATGTTCATCAACAAATGTTCAAGTTATTTCTCCTACGGTTCAAATAAATGATCAAGGATTTCCTGTTCAGAATGTTCAAGTTACTCCTCCCACAGTTCAAAGAAATGATCAAGGTGCTCGTGTTCCAATTCTTCAATCAAGAAATGTTCAATTAGGTTCTAAAAAGATTTCTTCTAAATATGATAAGTTGTTAGCCTTTTTTGATACAAGTGTAGCTAAACGTTTGGCTAATAAAGATAAATAATTAGTATTCCAGAACTTTATAAACATTAGACTTTTTTGTAATGTTGATTTAATTACTATTTTGTAATTTTGAATTTTCGATCTATTATATAAAAAACTTTCATTCAAAGATTAAAATGAAATATCAATTACAATAATATTAAAATAAAATCCATAAGTCTACTTCTAAAAAAAAAAAAATAGTCATATATAAGAAATGAACATATACATAGTTGTAAATGAACATTTGAAACTACAAAGTTGCAAATTTTCTAGCTTTCCTTCTATTTGCTCTTGATTCAGTGTTTTCTTCAAATAACATCAGTTCTGCTGTGTATTGGAGCCTTAGATTTCTAATTTGTTCCACCTGTTGAACAAAATGAATTGTCAAATTTTAATTAAACAATCTTTACTGTTTCATAAATGAATATTATATCTTAAATAATTGATCATTTAACTCTTACATTGTTTGGTTTTAAATCACAAATCCAGCTCTCATTAGGATCAGCAGTGAAGGTTTCCATATGCTTCATAATGTAAACTCCACAGTTGTATAGTCATTGTTGCTACGCCATTTCATCTTTTCCAAAACAACTGTGTAGTCTTCAATTCTTTTTTGCATCTTGATATCCAAGGTGTTTCATGTACTCTGCCAATCCTTTTAACTGATAGAAAAAAGAGTAAAAATTGTTTAGAAGTTTGTATTGTGATGAAGACATGAACAATTAATAAAATATAATTGATCATGTAGTCAACTATAAATGAACATATTATCTCACCATCATTTTTGGTTGTTCTTCATATTTTGCTTGGACTGATACCTTTTTTGGTAGTTTTCTATTGTCAATTATATGAATTTTGTCTTCTATATGATTGACGCACAACAGAAAAAAATGTTGAGAAGTTGATACTGGGAAGAAGACCTGAACAAATTATATAATGTTATTGGACAATATATTGAAGGTAATTGAACATTTGTATTAAACAAGAATTAATACCTGTTTATATCCAACAATGCTGTCAATTTTAATTCAACTTCAGTTCATTGTCAATTCTTTCTATGAAGGCATTAATTCTTGTCTTCATTGATGATCCTTCTGACAAACTCTATTTGTGCACATAATGTGCTGTTGAAATACAAACAAACATATAGAAGTTAAATGAATTTTTAGCAATTATTTATCATAGGAAAATAGAATCAATAATATAAAAAAAGAAGAAAGACTAACATGAAGCACTGTTGAGAAATAAATCTTGTTTCTCGGCTTTTTATGATTAAGAAACCTTGCCCATCCATCTATGACACAATTTGTCACTTCAACATCATCTCCAAGAGTTTTCATTTCATTTCTATTGATGAGATTCAAGCCATCATAGTATAAGAGTGCACTGCATTATGAACATTTAATAATATGAATGTGAACATATTTTTTATAAAAGATATTAAACCTTAAGTTTAATTAGTGTAAGTAATTACCTTTCATCTTTTCCACCAAGAGCAAAGTCTAACTGCAATTTGGTTCATGGCTTTCTCATCTTTTAAACAGATCCTTGTACTTGACCAAGTAAGGAGATCGGAAAGCAGGAGGAATTGTTTTCTTTTCGCGTTTTGGTCTTGTTGTTCAATATAAAATATTGTTAAATTAAGAAAATTATGAGGAACATAAATGAACATTTGAGTGTATATAAATAAATTTGAAATTATACCTTTCAACCTTTTCCTTTTCAGTTTTTTTCTTCTTTTCTGCAATTGACTTTTTTCTTATCATCATTCCTGGTCATATTACATAACACAAATGTACATTTAGGTATATGAAAATGTTCATTATTATTTTTGAACATTTACTTAATATAAATAATGTACCTTTTTGTGACTTTTGAGGATGAAGCAACAATCTTCTGTTTTCACTGAAAAGTGAAACAATGTCAGTACATATTAATAAAATAAAAGCTTCTTATGTAACACCTGAATCATTTTCAATTCATAAAATGAAAGATATTGATTTAACATAAAACCTATTGATTTAACATAAACCATACATTCATATTACATATTCAACAAAATAATGTTCACACATACAATAGTTGAGAAACACCAGTTTCAAGTTACAACACGATAGTAACATAAGTTAAATTGTTCCATCTAGATATTTTATCCTACACCATTACATAACCCTAATAGTAAGACATGTCTTCAGGATTTTACCCCTCCACTTTTTCATCATTTTTTGTTTTTTCAAAAACATCTTCCTTGTTTTTGTTTCCACCTCCAACTGTGTTTTTTGGATCATCACTTTTTTCACCACCATCTGACCTAGGGTCAGCATCAACCACTGAACCAGATCCTGCATCTAAGAAAAAATTTAATTAGATATAATATAATTTCTTTGTAAATGAACATTTGAGTATTTATAATTGAACATTATACCTGTTCTAGGCAATCCTTCATTATCTGACCTAGTGTCAGCATCAAATTTTGAACCAGTTGCTGCGTCTAACAAAAATAATACAATTAATAATGAATATTTCTTGTTTGTAAATGAACATTTTACACTTTTTAATTGAACATTATACCAGTTCTAGAAAATTCTTCAATTCTTTGTTCTGAAGCTGCTGAAGTTTTACCCACATCCTTTTCTCCAGCTGTATTATAAATCATCATTTTGGAGATACACTAAGTTAATAGTATTTACACATAATAATTAGAAATGAACATTTCTACTTAAGTTTATGTACATTATTATTAAATATATGAACATATTACCATTTGTTGAAATTATTGGTTGTTCAATTATATCACCAAGTGTTGAAAAGGTGGGCCCTGTTTCTGTTTAGGACAATTTAGACCACAAATTTAGAATTTTTTCATATAAAAATTAGGATATATAGTCTCTTTTAGTTAGAATTTACCAATGGCTGGAGAAGGTGGAGTCAACCCCAAGCTGAAAGCTTTTCTGATGTCATATTCTTGTTCTTTTTCCTTTCCCTTTTTGGTTAATTTCTTCCCAGTCATTTGCTTCTCAGTTGTTTGCTTTTCAGACCCTTGCATCAGATTCTTCTCAGCTTGTGCAAGTGCATTTAGGAAATCCTCACTGCCAAAGAATTCTTCATCTTGGCTTAGAATTGATGGTTCCCTAGCTACCACCTTTCCTAAAACTTCATCAACTTTTTTCACCAAGTCATTTCCAGGGAAGATATCCTTTGCCTTCACCAATTTTGAAGAAAGCTTTGACAGGTTTGAACAAGTTGTTTTTACCAGGGAAACAAAATCATCCATAAAAACCTATATGAATGAATATTAAAAATTATGCAGTTGAACATTTCAGATTATACAAATGAACATTTATGTTAACAAAAGTGATCATTTTATAACCTTAGGACTTTCTTCAACTTCTGCAGCAATCCTTGGTAGAATTTTCCCTCTCCCAAATCCCAATTCTAATTCAATCTTCAACCTCTCAAGAACCATGTCTCTATTCCATGCAGATATGATAGGAATTGTTCTTGGAGGCCTTTTGTCTAACCTCTGAACTCTATCAAAATAGAACAACTACAAGAAAAAAGAAAACATGGAACAGAACATAAACAATAAAAAAAGTGCATTTATTTAAATTTAAATGAACATCTTGTATCTAAGAATATACCATCAGAAATTGAAGAGGGCCTTTGTAGAACCCCTTGCCTTGCTGCTTTCTCCAATCAACATGACATTTGATAAGTGAGTCATATACAAACTGACACCAGTTCAAATTTTTTATGTTTTCTTTGTCCATCATAGAATAAAGAAATTTGAAATGGCATTGATTGTTTGATACACATTTCATCAAGCAGTTCACAGCCACTGCTAAAAAGTTAGTAATGAAATGTTCACTTGGTGGTCTGTTGTTGGTGAATTTATCATTTATGTATCCATTCACAATCTGCAAACAAAATGAACAAAACATTTATACTTTTGATCATTTAATGTATTTAAAATGAACATTTAAAACTGATCATACCTGACTCACTGATGGAGTTTTTCCTGACCATGATTTTCTCCATTTCTTCAGAAATTCTGCATACTCCTCACTAATTTTATCAGACTTTGGCTCAACAATTGGAATTTCTCCTGTAGGCAAGCCATAAACTACCCTAACATCCTCTACCTCAATTTCTATTTTTTCATTCTTTGGTAGTTCAAAACACTGGCTATTTTCTTCAAAACTTCCCAATAACCAGTTACAGAACTTTTGATCAAGTTGAGGTAAACTAATGTCAAGAAGTGATCCTAACCCTATATCAATAATTTGTTGTTTTTGGGTAGGTGTCATCTTTTTTATCCATGCAATGAACTTCACATGTCCTCCTCTCTTTGAAGATTTCTCTTCCTCAAATTCATCTTCCTGAATTTCCTCAACTTCATCAGTTTCTATTGCTTGAACCATTTCAGTTTTCATTTTCTTTTTTCTCCTACCTTCAATCTTTCCTTCATCATACAGTACCATCTTTTGCTCCTCCTTTTCAACCTTTGCCTTCACTGAATTCCCTTTCTTTGCCTGTTTCTTCCTTGGCTTTACTTCTTCCTCTTCCTCCTCTTCCTCCACCTCATAATCATCCTCACTGACAGGCTCTTCTTCTGCTCTATAAACTGACTCTTCACTATCATCATCACTGTCAGTAGAACTTTCATCAGTAGGATCTTGAGAGGGTTCATCTGATGGTACTTCTTGTATTTTTTTTCTCTTTCCAGCATTTCTCTTGGCAGGACTGACATCTGAAAATTAAATATATAATTTTGTTTAAGTATTGAAAATGTACAGTAAGCAAATGATAAAATGAACAAAATTGTTTTCTCAAATGATCATTCTATATATAGAAATTGAACATTTATAATATATCATTATATACCTGCTTTTCTTTTGCCAGCAACCTTAGAAGTTTTCTTCACTTCTTCTAGAGTTTTCTTTTTCCCACCTATATATTGAAATTGAACATTAATGATATACCATCATAAATGATCATTCTATACATTAAGATTGAACATTTACCCTTTTTGCCTTGGTCTGGAGGATATTCAGCAGGAGCACCTGCCATTTTTTTTTATTGGAGTAGGTGCTGGAGGTGGTGCATCAGCTTCCTTTTGAATAGGAAAATTCCTTGTAGACATTCTTCTCTTCTGTCCTATTTTTGCGGTTTCTTTAGCAGGTTCAACATCCTTCTTCAGGCTTCCCTTTTCAGATTCATCTAACAGAACATCTATTGTTTTTAAAAAAATTTATGTTAGTATATTTGAAAGTGTAATATTTATTGTGTAACAGAAAAGTATTATGATTACCTGGCTCCTTGTAATTCTACCACTTGGCACAACAACAAGGCTTTTGTTTTTGTTTTTCCTTGCAACCATTTTGTATCTTGTTTTCATTTTGGTTGACTGATCACTTTTTTGTGATGATGGAGCTGTCTCCTCACTAAGTTTTGTGGAAACTTTATCATCATCTTGATCTAGAAGATAAGTTTCATCCTCAATTTGAACAAAATCAGGTGCAATTTGTGCTGCATATGAAATGATCAAATATAAAAGATTAAATAAACATTTATTAAATTGGATGACAAATGTTTACTATATACAATATAAATGAACATTTCAGGTAATGAATATGTACATTTTCCACTATTTACCTTTCGGATCTGTTGTCTTTGTAGACTCATCTTCCACTGTTTTCTCTTTAGGGATTTTCTCCTTTTCAGGCTCTTTTTTTCCCTCTTGTCCTTCTATGAAAATTTAATTAGTTAATATTTATATATTTTTTTAATCTTATTGAACATTCAATATTATGTAGATCCAATATGAACATTTTATGTAATAAAAATGTACATTTATAAATTTTTACCTTCTACATTTGTTGTCTTTGGAAAGACATCTTCCACAGTTTTGTCTTTAGGGCTTTTCTCTTTTTCAGTCCCTTTTTTTCCTTCTTGTACTTCTATTAAAATTTATTTAGTTAAAATTTAATTTTTTTAATCTTATTGAATATTTAATATTATGCTTTTCCAATATGAACATTTTTTGTAATAAAAATGTACATTTTAAAATTTTTACCTTTTTCCACAGTTTTCTCTTCTATTGGCCCTTTTTCTTTCTTTTTTGCTTCACCTTCAAAAGTAATAGTATTGTTAAAATTGATATTTATGACTATTAAACAAAAATATTCAATAAATATGATCATTTACCTTTCCTGATTTCCTTGCTTGCCTTTTCCATTCTTTTGAGATTTCTCATAATTCTGATTGTCGATTCTTTGTACTTTCTGTAAATGTATGATATTAACTTTGAAATATATTCATTAATTGATTAAATTAATTCAATTATTTAAATTTAAACATACTTTGGGTTTCTCTCTATGTCTAAATGTATTTCTTGCATCTTGTCCTTTAATGTTGTTATTCTTGAATCATCTTTGGGTTTTCTGATATTTCATTAAAAATATGTTTGAATTTACAATTTTGATTAGTAAATAAAAAAATGAACATATAACTTATATTACTATTGGCCATGAGCAAACTTTTTTGTACTGATTTTCAAATGAACATATAGTCTATCTAAATTGAACATTTAAGTTTTCTTACTTTTGGCCAAGACTATTCTTTACTGGATTGCTTTGCACTTTTGGTTGAACTTCTTCTTGCTTGCTGAAATCAATATTAAGAAATACTTTAAATAAAAAATGCACATAAATTGTACATAAAATATACTGTTATAAAAATGAACATTTGTTTATATAAAATTGATCATTAGTATACCTTTCATCCCTACTCTCTTTGTCAGTTGTGTTATGTGTAGCAGACACACTCTTAGTTGTTGCATTAGTAGCAGGAATGTTCTCACTTTGTTCACTTAAAAAAAACAGAATTATTTTATATAATATGATATTAAAGTATGAACTAATTTATACAATGAAGAAGATAATTAGTTATTTTGTATAAAGCTTTTATACCTTATTGTTTGATTTGTCTCTGGTGGTCTTGATTTTGACATAACAAATTTCACTCGAACCTTTTTTTTTCACTAAAATTTTAAGAATTACCTAATAAGTTTGGTATATATATACAATGTACAATAATTGAATGTAAAAACAATTATTTTATACATATAAACTTACTTGTTTAAAGTGTATCTTTCATAACTATTACCATATTCATTTTGTTCTATAACCTTCTTTAGAGTTAATGGTTCAGATTTCCCATCTCTAAATTGAAGCAAGTGTATCACTCTAAATGGCACATCACTACATTATAAATTAATTACATGACATTAGTTTGAATGCATATCACTGAAATGATTATTATCATATTTATATATGTGCATGATGATTTAATGAAATGTATATTTGTTATTTAAATCTCAATGACTACTCAAATGAACAAATATACATATATGATCATAATTATATCTATAAATGAACATTATGAGTATCAAATATGATCATATACAATGATGTTTCAATGAAATGTACTTTTGTTTTTAAATCTCAATAAATACTCATATGAACAAATATAAATATATGATCATAACTATATCTATAAATGAACATTATGAGTATCAAATATGATCATAACTATATCTATAAATGAACATTATGAGTATCAAATATGATCATATACAAATAACATATTAAACAAAGATAAAACCAATTTTATCAAATACAACTAGCATATTAGACATGAACATAATATATTCTGTAAATGACTAATTACCTTGGTAGTGGAGACATTGTTAAATCCGTACCAATTGACTTGTCAATATCTTTTAAAAGTTCCGGATCTACAATTGGATCATTTTGGCGGTTTTTTTTCAATTTGTCTACTCTTGACTGAAGAGGTACATCATCATCATCGTCTCTGTTTTATTTAATAAATTGTTAATGTTTTAGTTATTTTCAGTAAAATCTTAGAACAATTACTACAATCGCAAAAAATTTTAACAAAAATTAGGTTTTACAAATAAATTCGCTCTATAATTTTCATCGCAAGAATATGAACAAATTAGGTTTTACAAAAGTTAGGGTTCATACATTTCTTCAGAAATTTTCAACAAATTACTCGTCTGTGAAGTATTTTTCTCCAAAATCATACTACAATTGCAAAAAATTGAACAAAAATTAGGTTTCACACATAAAATCGCACTATAATTGTCATCGAAAGAAAATGAACAAAATTACTTACTCTTTAGATACATTTTGCTCCGATTTTGCAGTTTCTTCTTTCATGTTCTTCTCTGTAGTGGTTTTTTGCAAAATCGCACTACAATCGCAACAAAATGAACAAAATTAAGGTTTCACACATAAAATTGCACTACAATCTCAAAAAATGAACAAAACTAACGAAATTACTTACTCTTTTTGTTGTGATTGTTTAATTTCTTATCGAATATCAGACATTTGAAGCAATTTTGGAGTATTTTGAAGCAATTTTTCAGTGATTTAAATTGAAATTTGTTCCGATTCGTTGGGTTTGATGAGAGAGAAACTCTAGAGAAATGAAGAAGATGGTGTTTAGAGAGAGAGAATGATTTGAAATTGATTTTTTTTTTTTATTTTTTTTATGTATATATATGTGGGGTAGGGGAAGTTAGTTATGCAGTTACTGTGGTTATTGTGGGGAGTGGGTAATTATTGTGGGTTAGTGGAGGGGGTGTGGGTAGTAACTCTAAACGCTGCGTTTAGAGGGAGTGTAGGTTGGGCTACCTACACTAGGGTCTAGTGTATACCAACAGATAATTTTGGGCTTTACCAATAACGTTGTATCATCTTTATGCTCGTGCCTAGCTGTTGGTATACACTAGACCCTAGTGTAGGTAGCCCAACCTACACTCCCTCTAAACGCAGCGTTTAGAGTTACTACCCACACCCCCTCCACTAACCCACAATAATTACCCACACCCCACAATAACCACAGTAACTGCATAACTAACTTCCCCTACCCCACATATATATACATAAAAAAAATTAAAAAAAAAATCAATTTCAAATCATTCTCTCTCTCTAAACACCATCTTCTTCATTTCTCTAGAGTTTCTCTCTCATCAAACCCAACGAATCGGAACAAATTTCAATTTAAATCACTGAAAAATTGCTTCAAAATACTCCAAAATTGCTTCAAATGTCTGATATTCGAGAAGAAATTAAACAATCACAACAAAAAGAGTAAGTAATTTCGTTAGTTTTGTTCATTTTTTGAGATTGTAGTGCAATTTTATGTGTGAAACCTTAATTTTGTTCATTTTGTTGCGATTGTAGTGCGATTTTGCAAAAAACCACTATAGAGAAGAACATGAAAGAAGAAACTGCAAAATCGGAGCAAAATGTATCTAAAGAGTAAGTAATTTTGTTCATTTTCTTTCGATGACAATTATAGTGCGATTTTATGTGTGAAACCTAATTTTTGTTCAATTTTTTGCAATTGTAGTATGATTTTGGAGAAAAATACTTCACAGACGAGTAATTTGTTGAAAATTTCTGAAGAAATGTATGAACCCTAACTTTTGTAAAACCTAATTTGTTCATATTCTTGCGATGAAAATTATAGAGCGAATTTATTTGTAAAACCTAATTTTTGTTAAAAATTTTTGCGATTGTAGTAATTGTTCTAAGATTTTACTGAAAATAACTAAAACATTAACAATTTATTAAATAAAACAGAGACGATGATGATGATGTACCTCTTCAGTCAAGAGTAGACAAATTGAAAAAAAACCGCCAAAATGATCCAATTGTAGATCCGGAACTTTTAAAAGATATTGACAAGTCAATTGGTACGGATTTAACAATGTCTCCACTACCAAGGTAATTAGTCATTTACAGAATATATTATGTTCATGTCTAATATGCTAGTTGTATTTGATAAAATTGGTTTTATCTTTGTTTAATATGTTATTTGTATATGATCATATTTGATACTCATAATGTTCATTTATAGATATAGTTATGATCATATATTTATATTTGTTCATATGAGTATTTATTGAGATTTAAAAACAAAAGTACATTTCATTGAAACATCATTGTATATGATCATATTTGATACTCATAATGTTCATTTATAGATATAATTATGATCATATATGTATATTTGTTCATTTGAGTAGTCATTGAGATTTAAATAACAA